AGCAAGCTCAATCGGGCTGCACCTGTCACCTGTGAGTGTTAGAAGCTTACAATCATATTCATATTCATACAAAAGAGGAATCCTGCCAATTTATTAGAAATACCTTAGCTCGTATGTGGTGATATTAGGGCTGTGGTGTCTCAGTTGTATATTTGTAAGTGAGCAGTGAGGTAGGCTAACATAAACATGCATTGCTGTCCTCAACATAGAACTTGAAAATAAATACCAAAGCCACAAGTGTGTGTGTGTGTGTGTGTTTGTGTGTGTGTGCGTGTGTGTGTAATATTTCTTTAGGCCCACCTCATTTTTTACGTCTCCTTTTACAGCATCACTTACCAGTTGTGTCTTGTGTGGCAAGTTTGTTTTATTACTTATCATGCAACTATCCAAATTAGGTTTTGGGCCAAGCTGCATAGAGAGTCTGTTTACAAATCTGTCTTGTGCAAGTTTTTTCTCTGTTTATATTTCAGGTTGAAGATGGCCCATAAAGGTAAGCCTTACAGTCGCTAATCAAGAAGCATTAATGTGTTTGAGAAAGACCGTATGGTATGAAGTAAGATTTACCTAAGTGCCACACTAACACTCAACATGTCAAATAAATATATCATTCTGCTGTATTGCTGGTATAAATGCAGTGTTTTTATTAACATTGTTGTTGTTGTACGTAGCGGTCCTGTTTACATCAGGGGTTGTGAAACGAATTTGTAGTATAGTATTTGAAGAATTTCATACATCAGTGTAAGAGTTCTGTGTCTATTGAAGCCTGTTGTACAGGCTTGTTACAATGTAATGGGGTTCACAACCCAAGTGTGAACCAGCGTGTTGGACAGATTGTCTTTGTATGAATTTACTTTAAAAAAAGAGATGCAGACTCCAAAGTTAAGTTTCTGTGCATCTATTTTTTCCCTTAGGCACAATGAACGATATTAAGGGCAAGTGGTCCACATTAGGGAAAGACAAGAAGCAGAAATATTTTCAAGAGGCAGAAGCACTGAGGGCATATGGGCAGGCACAGGACCTTAGCCCTGAGATGAGGGAGCTCAAAATTAAAATGCATCTGAAGAAGCTGAAGTTTGAGGTTTGGAAAGAAGCTTCATATGCTTGACATTAGTGGTATGAGTTGGCACTATAGTAGCATTATAGTTTTTCTGTAGATTCTTTCATCATTTTAAATGAATTCATCCCAAATAAACATTAATATTAATTAAGTCATCAAATGATTACCATACTCAAAGTATGTCATCCAAATGTATGTAATGAGCAATTACATTACATTTACACTCACCTAAAGGATTATTAAGAACACCATACTAATACTGTGTTTGACCCCCTTTCGCCTTCAGAACGGCATTGATTCAACAAGGTGCTGAAAGCATTCTTTAGAAATGTTGGCCCATATTGATAGGATAGCATCTTGCAGTTGATGGAGATTTGTGGGATGCACATCCAGGGCACGAAGCTCCCGTTCCACCACATCCCAAAGATGCTCTATTGGGTTGAGATCTGGTGACTGTGGGGGCCATTTTAGTACAGTGAACTCATTGTCATGTTCAAGAAACCAATTTGAAATGATTCGAGCTTTGTGACATGGTGCATTATCCTGCTGGAAGTAGCCATCAGAGGATGGGTACATGGTGGCCATAAAGGGATGGACATGGTCAGAAACAATGCTCAGGTAGGCCGTGGCATTTAAACGATGCCCAATTGGCACTAAGGGGCCTAAAGTGTGCCAAGAAAACATCCCCCACACCATAACACCACCACCATCAGCCTGCACAGTGGTAACAAGGCATGATGGATCCATGTTCTCATTCTGTTTACGCCAAATTCTGACTCTACCATCTGAATGTCTCAACAGAAATCGAGACTCATCAGACCAGGCAACATTTTTCCAGTCTTCAACTGTCCAATTTTGGTGAGCTCTTGCAAATTGTAGCCTCTTTTTCCTATTTGTAGTGGAGATGAGTGGTACCCGGTGGGGTCTTCTGATGTTGTAACCCATCCGCCTCAAGGTTGTGCGTGTTGTGGCTTCACAAATGCTTTGCTGCATACCTCAGTTGTAACTACTGGTTATTTCAGTCAAAGTTGCTCTTCTATCAGCTTGAATCAGTCGGCCCATTCTCCTCTGACCTTTAGCATCAACAAGGCATTTTCGCCCACAGGACTGCCGCATACTGGATGTTGTTCCCTTTTCACACCATTCTTTGTAAACCCTAGAAATGGTTGTGCGTGAAAATCCCAGTAACTGAGCAGATTGTGAAATACTCAGACCGGCCCGTCTGGCACCAACAACCATGCCACGCTCAAAATTGCTTAAATCACCTTTCTTTCCCATTCTGACATTCAGTTTGGAGTTCAGGAGATTGTCTTGACCAGGACCACACCCCTAAATGCATTGAAGCAACTGCCATGTGATTGGTTGATTAGATAATTGCATTAAGGAGAAATTGAACAGGTGTTCCTAATAATCCTTTAGGTGAGTGTATATATAAGTGATATACAGTCGGCTTTGCTGCTACATTGGCACAATAAGTGCTAAGTAGAATAGGCTCAAATCAAATCAATACGCTATATTTGAGGAATTAGCCTGCTAGTTTCCCATTACAATGTTGACTAAATTATAAAATATAAATCAACGACAAAAACCCTCCCCCTCTACGTGATTAAACGTTATAATTTTGAAAGCATTTCCTGTCAAATCGAACGCTTTTATTTTGTAATTTTTGTGTGTATTTCCTGTCCTGACCGGCCTGACAGAGGAGGTCTGCAGCAGAAGTGGCCTGACAGTGGAGGTCTGCATTTGGACCTTCTTGAATGAAATGGAGCTATTGTTATTAGAACATAACTAATATGGGTTATGTGGTCCTGCAGTTTTGTTAAAAGGGGAGTTGCAGAGCGCCCTCTGGTGGGAAAACTATGCAACACTCACGACATTCGTGAAGGATCTGTCTTTCCTGTTTTAATCATCTTTAATCGCCAATACGGATTTAATTGCAATTAGCTCATATCGTCCAACAATATCAGTAGCTCTACTTGTGGTCAAAAAAAAAACAAACTTTTGGAAAAAAAAGTTTAACCCTTGTTTTATAGAGGCTCTAAAGAAGAATGCACTGACTAGGGTGTAGGAGGAGATGTAAAAAATGTGTTAAAAATAAAAAAATCTAAAATGGCAGAGGTTTTTTGTAGGCGGATCTTAATGAACCCTGGGGGTATTTTGTAGAGTACATTGAGCTGGACTTCTGTGAGAAATTTCAAGTCAATCGGACTTATAAACCTGTAGTTTTGTGCCTCAATTACAGCGCCACCATGTGGCCGATTGGTGTAATATTTCCATGGAAGTACGAGCACATCTGTTTGAGTTACTGTGCCAAGTTTCATGTTTCTAGCTCATTCCAGCTCACGGCAAATGGAGAAAAGCAGACTGTCAACACAAAAACAATCGTTAATATAGCCGCAAGCGGCGATTCCCGGGTTCATACCTTTTTTCGCAATATCGCCTTCAAAATAAGTTCACACGTACGGTTCAACATTGTTATAAAACATATGCTGCAAGATTTGTAACAACTGGACAACCATTTTCTGATCTATAGCTTGATTTGTACCATTCCACATCCAGTTACGATGCATTTAAAGCGCCACCTAGTGGTCGATTTGAATGAAACTTTCAAGGAATATTTCTGGCACTCATGTGGACATATACCTTGAGTTTTTTGATGATTGGACAAACGCTTGCGGATTCTTGTCTATTTATGTCCTGAGCCACACCCTTTACATGTTTATTGGTCAATATCTTGAAAAGGAAAGGAGCTTTCAACAAGCTTTATACAACTTTATATAAGCTAAGGCCAATGATGATCCAGAGAAAATTTGGTGGCAATTGGAGCTACGGTCTAGGAGGAGATGTAAAAAATGTGTTTGCATTATGGCAAGCGGCCATAAAAATCCTGTTTTAATGTGTGAATTATCTGTATGTGTTGGGCAATAGTTCTTCAAATACACTAGTTGACCTTTTCCTTAAAAAACAACTACAGCTTTTATTTGTAGGAGAGCACTGACTGCAAAGAACAAAACATTTACTGGGAACAAGCCCACTCAGGATTACAGACATCACGGAGCATAAATATTCAGTTTAATAGCAAAATGTGATTTTCAAAAAATTCAAAATGGCGGAAAAAAAACTCCAGGCGGACCTTAATAATCCTTGAGGCTTTTTTGTAGAGCACATTGAGCTGCACCTGTGTGAGAAATTTTAAGTAAATCGGACTTACGGTGCAAGGGGCGTGGCCTTTCAAAATTTGCATTTTTAGGCCTTAATTATAGCGCCACCATGTGTCTGATTGGGTTCATATTTCTATGGAAGCTGATGCACATCATTTCCAGTTATTCCCCCAAGTTTCATGTTTCTAGCTCATTCCAGCTCACGGGAATTTGAGCCAGCACGGCAGACAATAAATAATAATAATAACTAAAACACACAAACATAGAAGGGTATGTAAACAATTCCACATCTATAATTTTTGCTGCTAGGTGCATCTTTTTCAGCCTGTAAACAGAGAGAGTGACAGAATAAGCATGTGTATTTTTCGGTATGAACCCTAAATATAGTTATTTATATACGTATATACATACATGTATGGACCAAAACATTCTGCAGTGCATTTTTTGAATTTGCATCTGGGGTGAATTTTAACCAGCAGCAACCAGATGATAACATGATTTCATCTTCACAGTCCGACACCCGGGAAACCACCTACTCTTATTATTATTATATTATAGGAGATGATGAATAGTCTAAATGAGTGTGCTTCGGTTAAAGAGATCCAGCAATTTGGGTAATTTTATAGTTTTCCTAAAACTAATAAGATAATATGATATATCATTTTTATATTTTTATAAAATCACTAAAATCCGTTTGTTTGACAACATTTAGATTTAACTGTAGGTAACCATAGCAACAGCAGCTGCACCTGCACTTCAGGCAATTTCTCTCTCTCTTGTAAAACTGAATATAGCTCAACATTAACGCTAAACTCAACTCACTCTCAAGAAAAGTAAAATGCAACAAGTGGCTGACCGATGGACAGTTTGGTTTCGGGTAAGTAAAACTATATAATACTGCACTTTCAGAGTTATCCTGACATGAAATAAGTTAGCTAATTAAGTTAGCGTTAGCTAAGTTAGTTAGCCTAATTAACTCAGAGCTGAGCAAACTGGGAAACCTGCCATGTCATTAGCATTCATAAAGTTGTTACTACTATGGAAATTTGTTAATAATTTCAGAATTTGCACATTTCCACAGCACTTTGTGTTTATTATTTTAAGACTGCTGAGGTTGCATACTATTGAAATGCTCTGCCACACACAAAAAACATATTGAGCCTGAATTTATCTTCGTCTGAGGGCTGCTTACCAAAAAACAAACCCTCTTACTGTGTAGCTCTTTTGTCTGTTGATGCAGTTTTGATTCTGTATCAGCTGCTGCTACTAAGGCACACTGACATAGCATTTCACTTTAAAGGTTCAGTGTGTAAGATTTAGTGACATCTAGCGGTGAGGTTGCGAATTGCACCCAACTGTCTTGCTGTCTACTGCTCCCCCTCCTCCCCTTTCAAGGAGCTTAGGATAGCTACAGTGGCTGACACAGGACAAAAGTTGTCGTCTTCTGAGACAAAAGAGAGTAATCAGTCAAGATATGTGGTTTCTTTAGGTAGATTAGAAGATAAAACCATGCTATCATCTGGTTGTTTACGTTCACCCCAGATGAAAATTTAAAAAATGCCCTGCGGAATGTTCTTGGTGGATACCTGTATGTATAATTGTAGGCTATATAAATAACTGTATATATTATTTTATTTTATATGTTACCCCATTTTAATCATAGACTCTATATAAAAATATTTTAATATACACTTAATTATATGTTGTGAGTGTAGCATGAAGGAACTACAGATTTTGTTTCGATGAGCAGCCTTGTGCTTTATAATGAAAAATAAACAACCCTGTACCTTGTACCTTGATTTATTAAGAAATGACTTAAGTATTCAGTAAAACCATATGTTATTGCGACTTGGCCACTGACAGATAATGTGGAAAATGTTAGCCAAGAGTGTGAAACACCGTTACTGTTTCTGCACCACAGTCCATTCTAAACCACATATTGAATGAAGTTTATACAAACACTGACAATGGAAACATGTTAATTCTCTGTAGCAATGGATCTTATTGCATTTGTGTTACTAGATCCTCAGAAATATTACACACTGAACCTTTAATAAGGTCAAAGGGCTGAGAAAGAAAACATGGTGCTGTCTGGAGACACTTTTAACTTGTGATGCAAATAGTGAATCAGATTCAGAACAGCAGATTATATTTTACATGTTCAGAAAATCAGAATTATATAATTCAGAAACTGTTTGATTGTTTTTGATTAAACTGTAGGTAACCATGGCAACAGCACCTGCACTTCAGGCCATTTCTCTCTGGGTTGTAAACATGAACCTAGCTCAACAACGCTAAGTTAAACTCACATTCAAAGAAGCTTTTATCATTGCTAAAGCCTAAAGCATGCTGGGAGATGTGGTTGGAAGCAGTAAGTGAATGAATTGTGAAGAGCAGTTGTAGCTGTGTTTTCTAATCACTTGGATGAGTCCTGATCTCTGCGTTGTTTGTGATATGGCAACAGTCCTATCTCTGTCATTTTGCATTGTTAATCCATGGGCATTTAAAATATCTGCCTCTTTTTGTAGGAAGCTGTCAGGAATAGATAACCAGTAGCATCTGTTTTACTTGAGTTGCCCACTCTACTGAATCATCTGCAGTCAGAACACAAGAGATTTATTTTGTCTCTCTGCAAAATCTTGGCACTGCCATGATATATTTTCACAGTACCCTATCCTATCAGGTTATTCATTCATGCAGCTTCTCTAATGTGCTTGTTGTGTTTATGTAGATTCATTAGTGTAAGCTTGATATGAAAGAGAATGTTTGTGTGTGTGTGTGTGTGTTTGTGTGTATAAAAAAAGATATGTGTTTGTGTTTTTTTCCAAGATATTGTTGCACTTACACTTACTCTACCTGTTCACTTACAGAGCTTTATTGAAAAGCCTCTGAGACAGGAGGTGGCAGCAGCGCCGAAGTCGCGCTTTATTCTGCTCCACTACAGTGTGCCGAAAACCCTGTGGGACTGGCTAATTCTTTTTGGCACTTTCTACCTGGCTGTCACCGTGCCCTACAACGTCAGCTTCACGACCACTGATCACACCGCTATAGATGCACCCTTGACTGTCATCACAGACATTGTAGTGGAATTGCTCTTTATTGCAGGTGAGTGTTGAAAGGTGTTACTGTGAAAGACATGGCCCCCTGATTTTTAAGTTCTTGTGCTGTAGCACAACTAATTACTGATCTGAATTATAATAATATTGTGGTGCTTTCAAAAAGTCATTAACATGACTAAAGCTGGTACACTACCCTGTTGCTATTCCATGTTATTCTTTTATATTTTCAGTGTGAATGACAAACATCAACACATGCAAGTGACCCAGTAGGATTGAATCTGAGCTTGAGACATTTGTCATTTCTCCTCACTGTTCTCCGATCTGTTTCATTGTATTTGTCTTTTAATCACGGGGGGGGAAACTTACCTTTAACCTCTGTATTTCCAGACATTGTGCTGAACTTCTGCACCACCTATGTGGACAAGTCAGGGAAGGTTGTGTATGACCCGCGCTCCATTTGCATTCACTACGTCACCACCTGGTTCTTTGTGGACCTGGTTGCAGCCCTGCCCATTGACCTGCTGTATGCTGTGCACATCCCAGTGGTGAGTACAACTAGATGATAATATGTTCACCCGTCTTTTTTTCACTGCCCTCTGCAACAGCTGATGACTTATAAAACATAGCAACTTCCAGACTCCAGAAATGTATAGTGGGTGAGAGAGAGTACGTACCTTGTATTACACAAAGCTGCTGCTGCCTGTCTGTGTGACAAGTACTCCCAAAATTGTGATTTGTTTGAACAAAACAAGTGGCTGCTGTGAAGTATATACAGTCAAAGTGTGTTTCAAAACAGGGCAGAGGGATTTGCTTTCTTTCTCCTTTTCTCACTATGCCCCCCATACTTGCCTCTCCTCTTCAGAGCTCCTTCGTCCACCTGCTCAAGACTATACGCCTGCTACATTTCCTACGCCTGTTTCAGAAATTGGAACGCTACTCTCAGTACAGCGCCTTGGTGCTGATCTTACTAATGTCAGTCTTTACTATGCTGGCACACTGGATGGCCTGTATCTGGTACGTGATTGGACGCATGGAGATGGCAAACAAAAAGACTTGGCACAACGGTAAGTCTGATTGAAGCTGTTGAAGTATGAAGGTCAGGTTTGGTGTTTCATGCTGCAAGGATTTTCTGTAAAGGATAAATGAAGTAACAGTTCAAGCAGAACTACCAGAACCATGTGCCATCATGTGTGCATTGTTTTCACTGTGCCTTCTGACAGGAAATAAATGCACAGTGCTGACTATCCAGACTTGATTCAGTTACCATACGTGAAAAATCCAACAAATAACACCACAGACTAGATTCAACCAATACAGCGAGGAGACATTTATTGTGTCCCCCCTCATGAGATGGTGGCAAACACCATACTCTGGCACTTGAATGAGGAGTGTCTTAAATATATATACACTACCGTTCAAAAGTTTGGGGTCACATTGAAATGTCCTTATTTTTGAAGGAAAAGCACTGTACTTTTCAATGAAGATAACTTTAAACTAGTCTTAACTTTGAAGAAATACACTCTATACATTGCTAATGTGGTAAATGACTATTCTAGCTGCAAATGTCTGTTTTTTGGTGCAATATCTACATAGGTGTATAGAGGCCCATTTCCAGCAACTATCACTCCAGTGTTCTAATGGTACAATGTGTTTGCTCATTGGCTAATTGATGATTAGAAAACCCTTGTGCAATCATGTTCACACATCTGAAAACAGTTTAGGTCGTTACAGAAGCTACAAAACTGACCTTCCTTTGAGCAGATTGAGTTTCTGGAGCATCACATTTGTGGGGTCAATTAAACGCTCAAAATGGCCAGAAAAACAGAACTTTCATCTGAAACTCGACAGTCTATTCTTGTTCTTAGAAATGAAGGCTATTCCATGCGAGACATTGCTAAGAAATTTAAGATTTCCTACAACGGTGTGTACTACTCCCTTCAGAGGACAGCACAAACAGGCTCTAACCAGAGTAGAAAAAGAAGTGGGAGGCCGTGTTGCACAACTGAGCAAGAAGATAAGTACATTAGAGTCTCTAGTTTGAGAAACAGACGCCTCACAGGTCCCCAACTGGCATCTTCATTAAATAGTACCCGCAAAACACCAGTGTCAACATCTACAGTGAAGAGGCGGCTGCGGGATTCTGGGCTTCAGGGCAGAGTGGCAAAGAAAAAGCCATATCTGAGACTGGCCAATAAAAGAAAAAGATTAAGATGGGCAAAAGAACACAGACATTGGACAGAGGAAGACTGGAAAAAAGTGTTGTGGACGGATGAATCCAAGTTTGAGGTGTTTGGATCACAAAGAAGAACGTTTGTGAGACGCAGAACAAATGAAAAGATGCTGGAAGAATGCCTGACGCCATCTGTTAAGCATGGTGGAGGTAATATGATGGTCTGGGGTTGCTTTGGTGCTGGTAAGGTGGGAGATTTGTACAGGGTAAAAGGGATTCTGAATAAGGAAGGCTATCACTCCATTTTGCAACGCCATGCCATACCCAGTGGACAGCGCTTGATTGGAGCCAATTTCATCCTACAACAGGACAATGACCCTAAACACACCTCCAAATTGTGCAAGAACTATTTAGAGCAGAAGCAGGCAGCTGGTATTCTATCGGTAATGGAGTGGCCAGCGCAGTCACCAGATCTGAACCCCATTGAGCTGTTGTGGGAGCAGCTTGACCGTATGGTACGCAAGAAGTGCCCATCCAACCAATCCAACTTGTGAGAGCTGCTTCGGGAAGCGTGGGGTGCAATTTCTCCAGATTACCTCAACAAATTAACAGCTAGAATGCCAAAGGTCTGCAATGCTGTAATTGCTGCAAATGGAGGATTCTTTGACGAAAGCAAAGTTTGATGTAAAAAAGATCTTATTTCAAATACAAATCATTATTTCTAACCTTGTCAATGTCTTGACTCCATGTGTCTATAGGGAGGTTAGATCATAACCTCCCTAATACTCCTGACACAGCTGAAAATCTCTTTCTGACACACACAAACAAACAGACCCAAACATAGACTGTTGCCTTTAGGTCAGGTATCTACCACACAGACACATAAGTAACATGAACCATTATTGTCTCATTGTCTCATCTCCTCCTTCAAGGGTGGCTCTTTAAACTGAGCAAACAGCGGGAAATGCCCTTCTTCAACAGCACGACGGGGGGCCTATCGGGGGGCCCGTCGATGTACAGCTCCTACAACGCTGCCCTTTATTTTTCCCTCAGCAGCCTGACCAGTGTGGGCTTTGGCAATATCAGTGCCAACACCCCTGCTGAGAAGATCTTCTGCATCTGCACCATGTTTGTTGGCGGTATGTCTGACACCAGGGTACACTGTCCCTCTGGCGCAACAGGGCCTCTGTTCAGCACACCAGTGCACAATTCAGCAGGAAGTGGGTTGGATGGCTGTTTGTTGCCGGCTTTACATACCAATAAACTAAAGTGTTTTAGCTAGGCAATTATTAGTGCAACAACCCAGAGGATAATTACTGTGTTCATTTTTATTCATGTCAGAACAAAGCTGTAAATTACTGTGGCCCCTGTGTGGATCATTAAGTAAATAAACAGTAACAAGTCTAGTTAATTGGGTAGTGATCAATATAAAACTATATTTAATTTTTAAGCAGAAAGAGTTTGAAAGTAAAGAGAAATCATTTTTTTCTCGTTGCCAGTTCAAACTGTAATAACCTAAAAACATGTTTCCCAAACTTAGGGTTAGGACCCAAAATGAGTAAAATGCATAACAATGTTGCAACATGTAATACAGGTATGTGAATAAGCATTCTTCTTTGCTGCTCTGGTCTGTTCAGCTCAGATGCTGAGTGAGGTTTTCTCTCTCACCTCTCCCTAACCTGATCTGCTGACATTCATACAGAATTTCTATGTGCGTAGTCTGTAATCTGTCACTGTCGATCCTATGATGTCCAAACAAAAGTACAAGGACAAGTTTATTAAAGTTGGCTTTATTATAGCCATTCAGAAGAGAGAGATGCCTCAGTGTGTAAAATGTGGGGAAGTGCTCAGTAATGAAAGTTTTAAAACGAATAAATTGCACAGGCAAATGTTCCAAATGAAACATTTGCAGTATTGGGGAACGTTCAGACATTTTTCACTGCCCTTGATGATGTGTTGGTTCAATTAGGCACCACATACTTATGTGAATCTGGCATTTTGACTTTAGCATCCCTTGACAAACAAATGCTCGGTATGACCTCAGAACAACACTTTGAAAAACCGAGCCCAGAGTATAGACCAGCTGGCTGAAAACTTTAACCAGCCACTTATTTTCAGGTCGGCATCATTTAAAAAGACATGTTGGTGCTGAGGGATGATGGGAGTTAAGAAAGGGGTGAGACACAGAAAGGAAAATTATTGTTTTTCTTTACTTTTATGAAAAAATAAAAACATTTTATATGCATTTTTAATTCATGGTTTGTCCTTTATCCATTGTTTATAAACGTAGATGTTACAGCAATTCATACAGCAGTATTTTTGTAAATTTGGGTCCCAGGGAGATACTAGATTTCTCTTTTGGGTCTTGAGCTGAAAACGTTTGGGAACCAGTGGCCTAAAATAAACAGCATTCAGAATAAAACTAAATCTAGAAATATAAATATTCAGCCTTTATAGCAACATTTATTGTCTTTTATGCTGTTTGTTTCCTTCTCTCACACAGCGCTGATGTACACCCTGGTGTTCGGTAACGTGAACATCATCATCCAGCGTATGTACTCACGCCGTTCTCTCTACGACACAAGCATGAAGGACCTGAAGGATTTCATCCGTCTCCACCAACTGCCTGAGCAGCTCAAAAATCGCATGCTGGAGTACTTCCGGACCACATGGTCTGTCAACAGTGGCATAGATGTCAACGAGGTAGGAATCCCTTTCATTGTTGTTGACATGTCACATTGTGCTGTCTGCCCTAAAGAAACTTCAGGGCAATGTTTAGATGGCATTTGAGCACTGACAGCCATTGTACAGTCCATGATCAATATATGCTGCTGTAACTGTCAATGATCTTTCACAGCACATGGCCAGTTGACATCCTATTGAAATTTAAAAAGGGTAACTGGAGTCCATTCCTTAATTATCAATCAATGTCACAGCTCATTACATCTGTCACACATCCCCAGCTCCTGCACGACTTCCCTGATGAGCTGCAAGCCGACATTGCCATGCATCGGAATAGGGACATCCTCCAGCTGCCGGTCTTTGCGGGGGCCAGTCGTGGCTGCCAGCGCTCACTCTCCCTCCATATAAAATCCTCCTTCTGCATCCCCGGGGAGTACCTCATCCGTCAGGGCGACGTGCTGCATGCCAACTACTATGTCTGCTCCGGGTCTCTGGAGGTGCTGAACGACACCACGGTGCTGGCAACATTAGGTTTGTCTTGTGGTCAAGTGACTTTTTTTTAACCTCATGTTTAAGGTGTTTATGTGGTACGCCATGGAGAAAGAACTTTTGTTATTGTTTTGATTTTAGAAGAAGGGAACCTGTTTGGGGCTGACCTGCCTGGACTAGACCAGGTGATTAAGACCAATGCTGATGTGAAAGTGCTGACACACACTCACCTTCAGTATATCAGTCTGCGTCACCTGAAAGAGGTGCTGGGTCTCTACCCCGAGTATGCCAGTGTTTTTGTCTCAGGCATAGGCAACCACCTCACCTACAACCTGCGTGAGGGCAGCCAGGACCAGGTACTAAATATACTCTCACACACAGAAAACTGGTGTTGACTTAATGTAGGGTTCCATTTCTCACAACGGTAAACCTGTGATAGGAAACTCTTTCCCCTGATTCCTAACTCGCAACACTTTCATTCAGTATGCTTCAACCTGAGCCGACCAACCCACAAACCTTCATCCAGTGTTTGGGTGTGTCACACCCAAACCCAACAGGAAGCCATTTTGAATTGAATATGAGATCCTTCACCATTTATTTAAAGCCCCCTGCTGTGGTAATTTGCAAAGCTTTTGAGGTTTTGTCAAATGCCGTTGCCATGGCCATGTGCCGATTTTCGATGTTCCAAAATTAAAAAGCGTATTTATAGATTCAAATAAGTAACTGTATCACCTCGGCCACACATTGTCAGATCTTTTCCACACTTCATGTCTGATAAGTGCAGTGTCCGATTTTCAAAGCCGTGTCAGCCAGACATCATTAGCAGAAACTTATTAAGATCTAAAAGACACAGTAATCATAAGTGCCTTTAAAAAAAAAAGGGTTATATTCTACATTGCTCATCAAGCGTTTTACAATGGAAAGGTATTGTTACAGGTAGCATCTAAATTTGTTTTCAACACAAAGTTAACAAGATTCCAATCTTTCAAAATATTTCACTATTCATGTAATTGTTATTCCAGTATTTCCAAATTGCATTCCTGCTTTAATGTGTTTCCATATCCTCAGGGTTTGACAAATCAGACACATTGTGTGCAGATCTTAAAGGTCTTCTCACACAGGAAGCGACACTCTGCCTGTGTAGTCGCTTGGCGCTTTTCATGTGAACAGACAGGCAGCCTATTTAACTTAAGTTAAAATTATACCTGATACATCCAGTTTTGCGGGGATGTTCTGCCAAGCAATTGCCCTCCTGTTGATGTCCTGACTATTACTATAGTAAACAGTGATGATTTCTGGAAACTCACAAATGCCGAGGGTCAGTCTCTCCTTCATTAATTTGTGCTGCGTGTCATGTACATAAAAGTTCAAGACAAGTGCAAGACATGAAAGGCGGACATGCTCGTCTCACGCACACGTGCGGGTGTGTGTGTGAGACAAGCATGTCCGAGCATGAATTCCTGTGTGAAAAGGCCCTAATGCTTCGCCGTATCTCCCAGGGGGACCTCCTGGGTCGCCGTGGCCTTCGTGGGCAGAGCTTATCCCCTACAGCCACCCAAGCCTCAACCTCAGCTGAGGGAGAGTCAGGGGCTCAGCAAAAGCCTTCAGGTCTCAGGTATTGTGAAAGCTGTCATCAGATTCAGTTCATAAAACACAAGTAAAGCAATGCAATATGACAACAATGTACCTTAAATAGAACATCTATTTGGTGTTGACAGCACTGTTTGATTCAGTTTGATGGTGCAGTGTGAGTCTGTACTTTGTGGTGGTGCTATATTACATTTCATTATATTAAACAGTGTTTCTAATAATTCTCCCCCCTCAGTTACACCCTCTATAGTTTATGATACAGTACATTGGCTCAGTCTCAACAGCAAACAGAAGAAATACATTTCCCACAAGCAGACTTTTTTTAAACGGTTGTGTTGGATTGCATTACAGTGTAAAGTTTTTTAGATTAATACTCTGTGCATGTCATAAATATTTTTTTTTATTTTATTAGTAATTATCATCACATAATATGCAACATTCTAAGTGTTATGAGTAGCATGGTAGTGTCTTTCCTTCCTCTTAAACACTGTGGTCCCCCCCCTCAAACAACCCTCCTCTACTTCATATCTTTCTTTGTATACCCAGTTTCAACCTGATAAACATCTTATTTGGTTTTATATTAACCCCAGCTTCATTCCTCTTCACACCTCCCACCAGGGTTGTAGACGTCGAAGTGCATGGAGACATGTTCCATTTGAACGCGGAGCACACCGGGCCTAGAGCCAGTACAGGGGGCAGCACCCAAGGTAGGCTAAACTGCCACCAGCTGTGAGGGGCACCTGAATGCCAGATGGCTTGAGGTGAACTCAGTAGCTCAAATGATGGATACGACAGTGGTGACCTGTCTCCTTCTGGGGAATTATAAGAGCGCAGAGGAATGAAATAACAGCCAGCTGTTCAAAGAGTCAGAGAACATGTTAAAGGTTCAGTGTGTTAAGTTTTAGTGGCATCTAGTGGTGAGGTTTGCAAATTGCAACCAGTGGCATAGTTACCGTTCCCCCCTCCCTTTCCAAGCTCACAGGAGAAGCTACGATGGCCGACACGTTCTGTCAGCTCTTGTGCTAAATAATACGTGTGGTCCTCCATTTGTCCAAATTTCACTTCTCTCCTACTACTACTTCTTCTTCTTCTTCTCCTCCCCCTCTTCTTTGTACGTATTCAGCGTAGTGATGAAACGCGCTCTGTAAAGCAGTTTGTCTGTTGGGTAGCGCAACATGGCAACTTCCATGTAAGAGGACCTGCGGAGTATGTAGATAGAAATGGCTTATTCTAAGGTAATAAAAACATAACTGTTCATTATGTATAGTTATGGATATTATATTGCCTTATTGACAGTAGATCCTCCTCAATATTACACACTGAACCTTTAAAGGACAAGCAGTGTACAGGTGATCTGACCTGAGCTTTCACTGGTGATCAGTCTGTGATGAATATGCAATGCAGTTCAGTTAAAGTCTGACTCGTTTACTTTACTATAATGAGCGCTCTGGCAATAGAGATGCACAACAGCACACAGTACAGCTTGCTCAGGGCTCAGAGTGTTTCTAAAAACTGTGGAGTAGGATGGACCTCCTGATGATTTTTTTGGTTTGGTCCAACAGCACTTGTCAGCAAAATATCACATGAATATCCACCCCTGATAGACACTGTGCATACATGCATGCATGTACACTCACCTAAAGGATTATTAGGAACACCATACTAATACTGTGTTTGACCCCCTTTCGCCTTCAGAACGGCATTGATTCAACAAGGTGCTGAAAGCATTCTTTAGAAATGTTGGCCCATATTGATAGGATAGCATCTTGCAGTTGATGGAGATTTGTGGGATGCACATCCAGGGCACGAAGCTCCCGTTCCACCACATCCCAAAGATGCTCTATTGGGTTGAGATCTGGTGACTGTGGGGGCCATTTTAGTACAGTGAACTCATTGTCATGTTCAAGAAACCAATTTGAAATGATTCGAGCTTTGTGACATGGTGCATTATCCTGCTGGAAGTAGCCATCAGAGGATGGGTACATGGTGGCCATAAAGGGATGGACATGGTCAGAAACAATGCTCAGGTAGGCCGTGGCATTTAAACGATGCCCAATTGGCACTAAGGGGCCTAAAGTGTGCCAAGAAAACATCCCCCACACCATTACACCACCACCACCAGCCTGCACAGTGGTAACAAGGCATGATGGATCCATGTTCTCATTCTGTTTACGCCAAATTCTGACTCTACCATCTGAATGTCTCAACAGAAATCGAGACTCATCAGACCAGGCAACATTTTTCCAGTCTTCAACTGTCCAATTTTGGTGAGCTCTTGCAAATTGTAGCCTCTTTTTCCTATTTGTAGTGGAGATGAGTGGTACCCGGTGGGGTCTTCTGATGTTGTAGCCCATCTGCCTCAAGGTTGTGCGTGTTGTGGCTTCACCAATGCTTTGCTGCATACCTCGGTTGTAACGACTGGTTATTTCAGTCAAAGTTGCTCTTCTATCAGCTTGAATCAGTCGGCCCATTCTCCTCTGACCTCTAGCATCAACAAGGCATTTTTGCCCACAGGACTGCCGCATACTGGATGTTTTTCCCTTTTCACACCATTCTTTGTAAACCCTAGAAATGGTTGTGCGTGAAAATCCCAGTAACTGAGCAGACTGTGAAATACTCAGACCGGCCCGTCTGGCACCAACAACCATGCCACGCTCAAAATTGCTTAAATCACCTTTCTTTCCCATTCTGACATTCAGTTTGGAGTTCAGGAGATTGTCTTGACCAACTGCCATGTGATTGGTTGATTAGATAATGGCATTAATGAGAAATTGAACAGGTGTTCCTAATAATCCTTTAGGTGAGTGTATATATGGATAAATGCAGTACTTCCACATACTGTATGTGTAACTTGGCATCCTCTGGAGTCACAAAGAAATCTTGTTTCATATTAATGCTGATAAATCCTGAGTTGTGTGCTAAGTCCGAATGTTTTCTCCTCCTCATTTGTCCAGACTCCACTCAGGCTGATGAGGTCAGACGGAGCATCAGTCAACTCTACAACAAGGTAAGGTACAGCCTCCAACCTAAAAATGAAAGGACCAAAGATAATGTACAATCCACATTTTGATGACAACCTAGCTCGTGTTTTCTCTACTTTCTTTCCTGTTTGCGTCAGTTATCTCAGTTTTTGTCCCTTTAGATTTCACTACTGCAGAGGAGATTTTAAAATGCTTTGGTTCTCTTTTGGGAAGTCATCAGAAAATGATATCTGGACATGAGTCTCGGATTAAACCTAAAAGACAGAAGCTGATTCATTTGTCTAATCTCTGTGCGGGGATTTAAATTGGGCAGAATAGAACAAGGTGTACTGTAATTGACCACATTTTCTCTTAATAGTACGACTAAACTGTGTATGCTCTCTAACCAGATGAGAACACTAAACCAGGGAGTATCTGAGCTCACCCGGGGGATACACCACCTGATGGATGTCCATACCCACGGATCTGTGCATCACGACGAAGCCTACCTTGCCTCATACCGGTATGGTGTCCAAATGCCAATGGCTCCTGGGAGCCATGACGGCCACATCCACCAAATTGTCCCACCTGCTGGCCACTGGAGCCACAGTGGAGCTGCTGAAACCCAAACAGAGACCCACTTAAGGCCTGATGGTGATGAATCCTCTTGCTTTTTGTCCTGTGCCCCTACAAGCACATCCACACACAGCCGGCTGGACTCGTCTTCCAGTTCTTACTGCTCAATCTTAGAAATCGAGGAGCCACAGCTCTTACTCCACCCTGTGTCTGCCTCTCCATCCATGTTGCCAGACCATCCTTGTGATCAGATGCTCTCGAGCCCCACCTTCCACTCTGCGACCCATCTGCCATAGGACACACCAGTCTGGAGTGCCTCCATGGAAACCTGTTGATTGTGTACACAGATATGTGTACACAATATGCTTTTCTTTTTGATACATTTTCCTGATAGCACATTACATTTATCCGCTTTTATTCAAAGCGATTTAAAATATCTATTTGTAAGTCGCACCCCACTGGAGCAACTACGGGGTTAAATGTCTTGCTCAGGGACACATTGGTGAATGAGTCACAGTGGGAACTGAACCCTGGTCTTCCACACCAAATTTATGTGTCTTATCCACTTTACCATCGCCACCCATCCATAACACTTCTGAAATTTTACTGAAGTCATGAGTATTAGTACTTTTCTTCAGTAAAGGATCTGATTTCCTCTTCCACCACTGGTCAGGTGGAGAGCCTGCAGCGGCTCTTCTGTTTGTCATGTGTCCACAGTTTGCTTTGTTCAGTATGATTTTGTTGAGGTATAAGTTGTTGGAGTAATACATCCATATATTCTTTGAGGCAGTTATTCAAACTTGAAGTATTTTTAGCTGCCTTTCTTCTTATCTATGCCTGAAGATTAAGATTCACTGTCTATTTCTTTGTTTCTATATGTTTTTATTCTTATAAATCCCACCTATTTCTTTTCATGTTGTATTTTATGTATGTATTCTAACTGTTCATCTGCAGCTTTTGATGTCTTTGGATAGGATAAAGTTGTTTCCAGAAGATAAACTCTTTGCTCCTCGTTTCTTTAGGATAGGAGGATCCGGGTCCATACAGCTCATCTTCTCCTCTGTCTTTGAATTACTCAGAGTCAGAAAAAGTTTATAAGAAAATTTCCCCGGCTCTGTAGGGTACAGCTGAAATCACCTTGATTTCCATGGCGCTGTGCTACTTTCTGACTCATAATACAATATAATGATACAATTATTAAAATGAGCACACAGGTTATGAAAGTTTGTATATCACTAACATTCAGCATTACAATGTTTCAGATCATCTGCTCATTTCCACTGTAGCTACCCAACACACCTGTCCTTACTGCAGTTAGCTTTATTATTAAATGTCACCTTTGCTGGTGCTCAAACTAGTAAGATCATATACATAAAGTGTGAAAAGCACGTCATCCTTTCAGTTATAGGAATCTTTCTGTGGGTTCATTTTCATGTTTCATGTTAAGAGTAGTCTATTTAAAGCTGTTTGTCATTGAGACCAATGGGCGCTTCCTACATAATTTGCAGCTGACTTAATAAATTGAAATTAATTTAAAAATTTCACAACATGTTTTGTGGAGAGCTGCATGAAATGTAATTGTTTGCTAGCAGTGTCTCTGGGCCAACTTTCAATTCAATTCATTTAAACTTCAGTCCAATACAACAACAGCAATGTCTAAGTCCAGATGTTACTTCATTTACATCTCTTAGCTACTCCAACCAACCACTCTCTTCAATCTGTTGAGGGTTGGACTTCCAAACGGGTCACTGTAAGCTTCAGGTGGGAGTGCAAGGCAGACAAGAGGCCCTTCAAAGAGACAGTAATGAAACATGAACAATATGGATTTAATGTCCATTTTAGCCCCATTAAAATAAATGATGTTAGCAAGAAGAGCACAATCCCTACTTTTTGACCATCAAAACATTAAACAGTTTTCTCTGATTTCTTGTTCTGAATACTGACTAAATGGTCCTGGCCTTTAAAGTTTTTAAAAATGTAAAAAGTATTTCACTCCATCTGTCATTGATTTGGAAATGATTGTGAGTAAATTTATTTTTTCAAACCATTTTTTCTTGAACTTTATTTACACGTTGAGAACAATCTCATCACTCTGCTTTCTTGTAGTTAATTAGTGAAATATTGCTTTAATATCTCAAAATAAACTAAAGTCCAGTCCCAGTCACCTTTTACATAATGGCTGAATCATTATTTTCAATTCATTAACATTGTAACTTTGTTTTCTGCATTTCTCAGTTCAATAATATTGTCTCTTTTACTGATCAGAATATTAGATATATAAAGAAAATGATGAACAATCTCCTTATTGATGAAGATAATTACAGTGAGAAATGTCAGTTCAGGTAAACAACAGTCATCATGAGCAGTGATAGCCTCCATGGCTAAACAGACACAGGAAGGAGCTCCTAAAGAAACTCAAACATTTACACAACAACTGAGGAGAAGATGAAGTAACGCCCATAATGTTTGATTGACAGGTGATCTCACAATCAGCTCTCAGCAACAAACATGAAGACAAAACAAGTTTAAGGATTAAAACAGAAGTTAACACTCTGCTCCTTAGATGACTTCTGACTATTTCAGTCTACAGAACTCAGTAGTGTTTCCACAAGAAGAGTAACGGAGCCAAAGTCCAGCATAGAGAGGCTGAGTGAATGGACTCTGGACTCTGTGGAGGAGAGTCATGGTTTCAGAGATGCTGTAGAAGGACAGAATACCTGCTCTGTGATCCAGGTACATTCCTATTCTGGAGGACTGAGGACCTGAGAAGCGACTTTGGACTTTATTGTTGTTGTTGTGCCAAAACTAAGTAATACTAAAAAGTATTATTGTCACAATCTAACGCCCAAGATTTAGCATTCTGTCTAAATCCACATTCATTTCTGCTTCCTGCTCTGCTGATATTTTTGTAGGTGACTGCTACAGTAACTCCTCCCCTCTCCACTCCATCTCCCAGTAACATTAGTGTTGCTCTTCTTTTCCCCTCAGATAATAACAGATTTGTGTTTGCTGTGTGTGGATCCAGTGTGATTTCACGTGAATATTTGAAGAACTCAGCTCTGGTCTTGGGCTCTGGTTGTGGCAGTAAAACATTCACTTCAGTCACTGTCAGTGAGATGTTTGTCTATTTCTTACTCAGAGCATCCTGTAGTTTGTCTCTGACTTCTGACACAGCCGCTGTCACATCCTCAAAGTAGCGCAGAGGACGGATGTTGATGCTGGATGAGTCTGTAGATTCACTGAGTGCTGACACTGAGGGGTAGTTGTGTAGAAACTGGTTGTGATCCTCTGTGTGTGAGAGCTGCTTCAGCTCAGCGTCTTTCCTCTTCAGCTCAGTGATCTCCTGAAGCTCTTTGACTCGACTCACTTCAGTTTCCTGCTGGGATCTGACCTGCTGCTTCATCAGAGCGCCTTTTCTCCATCAGACGGATCAGCTCGTTGAAGATCTTCTCACTGTCCTGCACTGCTTCATCAGCAGGAGGTGTTTCTCACAGTAAGAGACCAGACAGACCAGGCAGGACTTGAGGGCTTTCAGTTTTCTCCCAATGCAGCCATCACAGGCCACATCTTCCAGCATAGCAGGAGCAGCTTGGAGTCCAGTCTTCTTTAGTTCCTCCACTAAAACTGCTAACATGGTGTTTTTCACCAGGACAGGCCTCGGTGTGAAGGTCCGCCTACAATGAGGACAGCTGTGGATTTTCTTCTCCTCCTCTTCATCCCAGTGGGTTTTAATACAGTGTGTCCACAGGGACTAGTCACCGGATCCTTCAGTAGATCCAGACAGATGGAACCAGAGAAGGCGTCCTGGTACAACTGAACTCCTTTCTGAGCCATTTCACCTCTCAGTGGCAATGACTGAGTTTTACTTTCTCGGAACTCAAACTAGTTTGACCTCTGATCCAAACAGCTTGTGTTTCTGCAGTGAATGGGGTCTGTCAGCTCCTGCACTTCACCACAGGTTGGTTACACCTGTCTTTAAACTGTAGATCTGAAGGGGAGGAAACAAGGAAATATAAGTTATGGACAGAGAGGAGAGGAAATGGAAAGTAACTAAGTACATTTGTACAAGTACTGTACTGAAGTACAAATTCAAGGTACTTGACTTGAATATTTCCATTTTATGCAACTTTTTACTTCTACTCCACTACATCTCAGAGGCAAATCTACTGTACTTTTACTCCACTACATTTGTCTGACAGTTTTAGTTACTAGTCAGCTGGAAAACGTTTTTTCTGAGTTCATGAAAATTAACTTAGTGCAGATCCAAACTCATGATGATTGTAATGAGTAGAAGTGTTTCAGAAGGAACTGTCACTTTAAGAAAGAGACAGACACTACACAATATCCACAGAGGTACAGACAGTAAAGGTGATGTTGCTATAAACTGAATGAAAAATGGTATAGATACTTACAGTAGTGTTAATGATAATCATAATGTTAATGATTATAACTGTCAGGGACTGCTGAGTGAGTGCAGCAGGAGTGAGCCCAAATGCAAGACTGAGATTGAGTTCCAGGGTTTATTTATCCCAAGCACGACAAACAGGCATGAACAGAACTCATGAGTACAGGAACATCCAAAAGGTAGCAACGGGTAGAAACACGACATCTGACAGGACCAACATGAGACAATGACCGGACAGGGAATGAACAGAAACACCAGACATTTATACACAGTGACTAACGAGCAGGGCGGGAGCAACACAGGTTACTGGGATCAGGGTTAACGAGGCAGAGAGACAGAAGGGAAAACAGAGACTAGCAGGCAGGCAGATTACTGAGGGGGGAAAAGACAAAACACAAGTTACTCAACATCAGAGTAATATAAACAAGCGGACAGATCACAAATGAACTAACACCAACAAGGAACACAGATAGAAGCTAAGGCAGACACCTAGATAACAGGACAGATCAGAACCACCACACAAATCAAGCAGAAGACTGGATACAAGACCACAGACAGACAGGACTGAAACCAAGACAAAGAGAAACCAAAATCAAAACACCGAGAAGGCATGGCCAAATAATATAACAGACAACCTCAGGGCAACAACAATAGGACTAGTAACAATAATTGTAGCAGAGGGTGTCGAGCAGGAACACGGGGGCAACCACAGATGCAGACTCCACAGCTCCAGAGCCAGAAACACCTGCAGGAAGTGATAGGAGGAGAGAGGAGAGGGACGAGAAAGCACAAGACTACTGGAAAGTGAGTATAGTATAGTAGGGGATTTCTCGCCTCCTTGCGCTGTCCAGACCGGGTCAAAACATCTGCTCACTTTCCTTGGAACTATACTCGGCGAATACGCAGCGCCCTCGCGCTGTCCAGACCGGGTCAAAACGTCCACTCGTTCCCCTTTGAACTACTCAGGGGGGATTTCTCGCATCCTCGCGCTGTCCAGACCGGGTCAAAACGTCCGCTCTGAGCTACTCGGGAGGGATTTCTCGCCTCCTCGCGCTGTCCAGACCGGGTCAAAACATCTGCTCACTTCCCTTGGAACTATACTCGGCGAATACGCAGCGCACTCGCGCTGTCCAGACCGGGTAAAAACGTCTGCTCGGAACTACTCGGGAGGGATTTCTCGCCTCCTCGCGCTGTCCAGACCGGGTCAAAACATTTGCTCGCTCCCCTTGGAACTATACTAGGCAAATACGCAGCGCCCTCGCGCTGTCCAGACTGGGTCAAAACGTCCGCTCGTTCCCCTCAGAACTACTCGGGGGGGATTTCTCGCCTCCTTGCGCTGTCCAGACCGGGTCAGGTACCCTTCAGACAGTACATGCCCAGCAAGCCGGCCAAGTACGGCATCAAGTCCTCGGTCGCCTGCGACGGCAAATCCAGCTACGCCTGGAAGATGCAAGTCTACATCGGGAAACCCCTCCCTGCGGCAGCGGCAAGAGGAGGAGGAGAGGAGAGTAGGAGGAAGAGGAAGAAGAGGACCCGCTCCCACCTCCGAAAGGAACCAGGGTGACTTCTGTCAACGCCTTCGTCCTATGGCGAGAGATCAACCCCGGGTGGATGCCGCGCAAGCGCAACAAGCGGCGCGTCTTCCTCGAGCAGCTGGGCAAGGCGCTCATCCGGCCGCTCCTCGAGAGGAGGCGCTCGTCTGATCCGTTCGCGCCGAGTCCTCCTCGTGGGAACGATGACAAGGAAAAGAAGGAAAAGAAGGAAAAGAAGGAAAAGAAGGAAAAGAAGGAAAAGAAGGAAAAGAAGGAGAAGGAGTGGAACGTGAACGACAAGACGGCCCCGGCGTCCCGAGACCGCCGCAGCGGCTGCAGCGGCCTCCTCCCGTGGAGTGACCGGCAAGAGAAAGAGGTGTCAGTTGTGCCCGCTGAAAAAGGATCGCAAAACGCACACCGCCTCAAGGTTGTGCATGTTGTGGCTTCACAAATGCTTTGCTGCATACCTCGGTTGTAACGAGTGGTTATTTCAGTCAAAGTTGCTCTTCTATCAGCTTGAATCAGTCGGCCCATTCTCCTCTGACCTCTAGCATCAACAAGGCATTTTTGCCCACAGGACTGCCGCCTACAGGATGTTTTTCCCTTTTCACACCATTCTTTGTAAACCCTAGAAATGATTGTGCGTGAAAATCCCAGTAACTGAGCAGATTGTGAATACTGAGACCGGCCCGTCTGGCACCAACACCATGCCACGCTCAAAATTGCTTAAATCACCTTTCTTTCCCATTCTGACATTCAGTTTGGAGTTCAGGAGATTGTCTTGACCAGGACCACACTCCTAAATGCATTGAAGCAACTGCCATGTAATTGGTTTAGATAATGGTATTATTGAGAAATTGAACAGGTGTTCCTAATAATCCTTTAGGTGAGTGTACATGCACATTGTGGCAAAGTTTCCTTTGCTCCTGCAATAAACCTAGTGAATCCAAAGAAGACCGTGGTCTCTGTGTGAACTGATTATTTTGTAGAAAAGTAAAAATGTTGTGTGTTAAACAACTGCGAGTGTGAGGGAATTAAAATAAATTAGAAGGAAGTTGGAGTTGTGTTAATATATTTAATGTTTTGTTTGAAAATAAATTATAAATAATTATGATTATAAGTGCCTTTTTTTTTCACTTGAGCCCTTGCCCACCAAAATGTCTGTGTACATCCCTGCTTTTAAGTGTTAAGCCCATTGACAAAGCCAGAGACAATATTCCTGCATTAAACCAGCTTACCATCCACCTGACCACCTCGTCACCACCTTATAGTCAAACTTTTATGGCTATTTATATCCCACAACTGTTATTTTCCCTGTGACAGTAGTCGTAAAATGCAAAGCAATAAATGCGTTGGAATACCACGCGAAATTGGCATGTTACAGTTTGGTGTTTTTTTGGCTATGTGACGATGGATATATAGGATAATAGGTAACATTTTAAGGAGAAATCATAACCCATAACGCTTAAATGTGTTTTCCTTAACTTAGTTATCACTACACAAATAACACGGCAAAAGACAATTGACTGTGCTCCTTGCTTGCTTTGTATTTGTGGATATTGGCCTTAAGCAGCAAGCCCCACCTGAGTGTACCTGCTGTGGTATCTGTAGCAAACAGGTTGGTCACTGAGACTATCAATTTCTTGACGTGATTAACGAGAATCAATATGAGTCCAAAGAGGGAGCACATTTATATATTTAAATAGATATGTGTCCAACACTGAATTTGTTATGATACCTCCTCTTTCTGCTGACAAATGAGTAGTAGTTTTGGCAATAGAAGTTAAATATCCCCATTGACCAAAAAGTAAACATCCATATTGACCGACCTGTACCTGCATGAACTGGTTTGGTCCTGCCTTATCAGTGACGTGTTTAGATACAGTGATCACAATGTTGCCTAGTAAACCAAAATCTGGTTTTCAAAAAAGGAAAGAGAGAAAAGAGAGAGAGGAAAGACAAAGTAAAGGATGTCAATCTGTAACCCCAGTTTTTCACCAAGAAGGGCGGCCTTTAGTCTGTGAGTGGTGTTAACCTGTTTGCTTAACATCCACGGTGAAATAAGCTAGCTAGCTACAGACTAGTGTTGGCCTACATTTCATCAACATTTAATCAGTACAGGGAAACGTTTAGCAAGAAATTCATATTAAATAATTGTCCCTGCCCCTTTTAGCAGACTAACAACAGATGAGTCAGCAGCACCCCAGTCTCCCCATAACTGTAGCCTCCCTGTCCCAGTGAAGAAGGTGAGCAGCACTGTGTTAATGACGTTCCAGTTAGCATCATTCCAGGCAGTCTGTGGGGATTGTTCATTTAATCATAACAAAAAAGAAAGTGAAATGTTTATTAATGACAGAATTTTGTTTTTACATAATGATCATTATGAAATAAAATAAAAACAGCCTCCTGTCTGTACTGGATGCTGGACAGTTGGAAACAGCGAGTAGATTACCTCAGCCTGCATGTAATTTACAGAAAATATTAAAATAATCCAGTTTGAAGTTCATTTAGATTGAATTATGGCCGTTAAATGACTTCTATAGATAGTTACTTTTTCTATAAAAATACATAGAGACTGTAAAAGATTGCCTTAAGGACATTTTTATGGTGGCTTACTTGCATGTACAAATCACCAGCAGTAAATATCTTGCTAGTACTAATATTGAACTACAAGAAGCAAGACAGTTGCAAGCCTTTAATTACAGTTATGTAAAGCTTTTGATGGGACAGTTAGATCCTAGAGATGTAGTGACAACAGCTGCGCAGAGGGGGCCCATTATTGTCATGGGGCCCAAAGTTGCTGGCGGCGCCACTGCAAAGTCATCCTCTACATCGCACTTCTGATATCAATGGCGCAAATCAGAGTTTGCAGGTTGAGTTACGTAAGTTTAAAAGGATTCACTGAATATGTTGCCTGGGGAAGTTATGTGATGATAGTTGTCTCACTCTCAAACGTTGAGGTTGTGCTAAACATAGTTTTACAAATGAGAGGCCAAGTCTTGAAGAAACAAGATTTTGATCAATAAATGTTTCATGAAATATGTGTTCCTTACCTTGTATCTTTGGGTACTTGGCCATGAGCAGTAAGCCAAATCTAATAGTAGAGGACGTAGAGTTGGTGATCTGTCTTGATACTAAAGACCAAATTATACTTCTGCGTTGAATCTATGCCATAGTTACACCATAGCTAAGCATAGCTGTGTACCCTACTCCATACCCTACTCTGTAGCCTGAGGCGCACCTTTCCAGCATCACATTTCCTCCAATCCATTTCTGGCTTCTCCTCACTCAACCAGTTAACGGTTGTCCATACTATCTCGTCCGATGCCTTTTTCTTGTTTCTGTGGTTAAGTAATTTCACTGCTGTTCAACATCGATCAGCTCAATTTCACTCACAACTGTTTGTAGTAGCCTGCACCAACAACAACAACAGAGGCTAAACTCAAAACAGAAGTGAAGAAACTCATGAAACTGATACTTTAAACAAGTTTTTTATTTTGTATTATTTCATTACACTGAATAAACAATGAATCCTTTTTCACCAATCTCCTCTCTTTGGTAGGTGTGAAGCAGATCTAATGAAACTGTCAATCACAATTAAACAATTCAAAAGCAAGATGAGTAAACAGCAATGTGAGTAAATCAATCATGAACAGCAAGAATGTTCAGTCTTTAAAAGGAGGAAAGCCTCTCACTGACCATATAGTCATACCATTAGAATGTAACTGATAGCCACAGATATTTCTTCAAATTGTTAACGGTTGCTCTACACAACAATCTCACCATGGATGATTGAATGACAAAATGTCCAGGCACGGTAGCAGTTTCCATTCCCACCGTGACATAATGATCAAGATGTTCCAGCTCTCTTCTTCATTGGCGACTGACAGCACACAGCTTATGAGCTGATGGGGTGAGGGTCAAGCCCACAACTGGTGTCAGATCCAGTTTGTCCTCTGTGACTCCAGGTGGAGGAGTGAAACGAAAGCGCTGCAGGAGGGAGGTGAACAAGAGGAAGAGCTCCATCTTAGCCAGACTTTCTCCGAGACACACCCTGCGACCTGCAAGAATGAAGAGATTTGCAAAGAGCATGATGCTGCGTAAAATGTCTTTGTAATCCCTAAACAACAAGAACGCAGAAAAGTTGTTGTACCTGCAGAAAAGGGCATGAAGGCGTCTCTCCTGACAAATTTACCCTCCTCATCCAGGAAGTGGGAAGGGTTGAAAGTGTGTGGGCTCTCCCATTCACTCTCATCATACAGAACAGAAGTAAGCAGAGGAAACACAGTAGTCCCCTGTAGACAAAAGAAGGAGCACTTTAAATGACATTACACCTAGCTGACGCTTTCATCCAAAGCGACTTACAATTGGAATTACACTCACCGGCCACATTGTTATGTACACCTGTTCACTTGCTAATCAGCCAATTACATGGCAGAAATTCAATGCATTTAGGCATGTAGACATGGTCAAGACAACTTGCTGAAGTTCAAACCGAGCATCAGAATGGGGAAAAGTGGATTTAAGTGACTTTGAACGTGGCATGGTTGGTGGTGCCATGTGGGCTGGTCTGAGTATTTCAGAAACTGCTGATTTACTGGGAATTTCACACATAACCACCTCCATAAGAGAAAATACCTAGTGAGCGGCAGTTGTGTGGACAAAAATGCCTTGTTGATGTCAGAGAGGAATGGGCAGACTGGTTCGAGATAACAGAAAGGCAACAGTAACTCAAATAACCACTCGTTACAACCGAGGTATGCAGAATACCATCTCTGAACCCACAACATGTCTAGCCTTGAAGCAGATGGGCTACAGCAGCAGAAGACCACACTGCAGCAGAAGGTGCCAGCTAAGAACAGGAAACTGAGTATACCCATCTTCTGATGGCTACTTTCTAGCAGGATAATGCACCATGTAAAAAAGCTCAAATCATCTCAAACTAGTTCA